TTATTTGGGGATGCTATGGTACCCTATATAGAGTAAGATTCTATCCTCCTTTTGGGGTATAGTATTTTCGAAATTCTATAAGGGATATACTCTTGCTAGGTTCAACCACCGAAAAAAAATACTCATTTGATGAGGGGGGTTTGTAGGGTTTAGGGTTCAGGGGTTAAGCATCGGTTTAGGGTTTGGGGCTTAGGGTTTAGGGTTTAGGGTTTAGGAAGGACTTTGTAGGGGTTTAGGGGTTAAGGCTAGGGGGGTCAGGGTGTAACCCCAGAATGAGGACTTTGTAGGGTTTAGGGTTGTGGTTTACGGTGTAACCCCACAATGGAACATGAGACAGTCAACTGGGTTCTATAGGAGTATACAGGAATATATAGGTGATATAGGGCTTGCACGGTTAACCATAGCTGAAGAAGTCCGCCCTTGACGGTAGGATGGTTTCTGTTTTCAACCTGGCCCCAAATGCAGTTAAAGGTTTAGGATTTAGGGTCTAGGTTTGAGGCACCAAGATTTAGGATAGCCTCAAGGGACTGATTCTTTTGAAGCCGCGCATGTAAACCCAATCCCAGTCTCTATTAAACCGCTACACAACCCCTGATGACCGTTTGAGTTTCCATCGCATGCATTCGAGTCTTCATGATACTGTTGATGGATGAAATTTTGCACCACCTAGGGACCTTGAACTACTGTAATTCCTAGGACTTTAAGGACAAAAGGTTGTGCAAGATTTCCTCCATCGACAGTTCCCCTAGACCCTCCCGGAAGAACCCAAGTTTGCGTTTCACTGTCTTTTCGATTGTCATAATCCTAGTGGCTCAGGCTTCCTAAGGTTGAAGTGTAAACCCTAAATGTCCTTGTATGTTCTCATATAATGTTCACCCATATCAACTGTTTGTCAGTTGCCCTGCTGGATGGCGTGCGCGCGATTTAGAATTTTGAGTTTAAGGTTTGGGGTGTGGGGTGTTGGGCTTGTCTGGTGGAAACCTTGCACAACGTAGCATCCCAAAGTATTGTTAGTGTTTTGTTATTGCGGCTAGAGAGGGCGTTGCAAGATTTCTTCCAGCCACAGTAGGAACCGCAGCACCTCTGAAAAACTCACTTGTTTTGACCCTGAGCCAACCCCCCGGGGACTCAGGAATCCGTATGCTAAGTCCAAAACCCTACACCCCAAACCATAAAACCCCAAGCCCTAAACCATACACCCGAAACCCTTAAACTCTAGTTTCTAAACCCAAACATTAAAACCCCTAAGTCCCGCCCTGAACTGGTACAGGAATAGCCCTAAACCTCAATCCTTACAGCCCCTTCACCCCAAGCCCGACCCTGTACCCTAAGCCCCCTAAATCCTCAACCCTAAACCCTACCCTGAACTGTTCCAGGAACAGCAATATCGATTGTTCAACTCAGCCTACCTGTTGTTCGGGCCTCACGGTGCTGGCATGGCAAACAGCCTCTGGATGCAAACTGCAGATCCTGGACCAAAATACAGAAGTTTTGGGTTTAGGGGTTAAGGGTTTAGGGGTTAAGGGTTTATAGGTGTTAAGGGTTTAGGGGTTTAGGGTTTAGGGGTTTAGGATTTAGTGGTTTAGGGTTTAAAGGTTTATGGTCTAGGGTTTAGGGGTTAGGGGCTTAGAAGCACGGTTTATGGTAGGGGAGGCTTAATTTCTGGAGCAGCCCGAAGGCATATTTCGGAAATTCTCCTGTTATCTTCGAAAATCTGTGGAGGAATAAAACCCCGACACCCTTTTCCGAACTATTCAGGCTCCTACCTACACATGTACTGTAGCGTCCAAATCTTCAGCTTCAGAAGGTATTTGCATGTACCCTCCAACTGTTAATCACGTAGCTTGGGAGTTTCAGCGACTAGCATGGAAACCCTGCTAAGGGGCTATATCGGGACTACGTAGGGATAAATACACAGATGCAGCGATGTATTGGGTTCGGGTATATGCCCCCCCCAACAAACATGCATGGAATGCCAAACCGGACTTTTCACAAACTACAGTCCTTCGGGTGGGGCAGGCGACATGGGGTGTCATGTTAGTATGCCAGGAGATTATCTCTGATTAGGGCAACCCCAAGAAAGTGTCTGCTAGAGCAGGAGATTCTCAACATTCAACATGACTTCTACATTTTCTCAGAATCTTACTTGGGGCTAGTAGGGAATGAGGAATATGTTAAATACAGATCATATAGGGTTGTCTCCTACTGAAGGCCAGTAAGTTCCTAATCCCAGCAGCTCTCCGTTATATTTCTGGGCCCAACGCTCAGTGTCACTTTTGCTCTGAGCTGTGTGCCTTATGCATGCCAACTATTCCCATCTTGCACATACCTCTAGTTGTGGATGGCAAGAACGCAGGCTCTTAAGATTGGGCGGCCCAAGTGCTGCCTAGACCCTAAACTTGGCCCTAAACCCTCAACCCCAAACCCTGCCCTAGTAAACGGCATAGCAGTGAAGGAGCTCTGCAGGAAGTCAGATCTCCATACGCCCAGTATTCTATCTACCTAGGGAAACTTTTCCCAGTTGCCAAAAGCTCTCCTGTGAATGTCTACATCGTGGAATGCCAGCAGTCAGGGTTCGAGGTTTGGAGTCTAGGGCCTGGGACCCTTGGGTTTGAAACCCTAAATCGTGGAGTGTATCGGTCATATACCAGGTTTTAGGGTTCAGGTTCTAGGGTAAATAGGGTACCAGGGATCCCAAACCCAAGGGCACAAACCTCGAGGGTATAAGCCTAAAGTCCTTAAAACAAAAAGTCATCGCATTCCGCAAGAACGTGTGTTTGGGCAGGAAGGGAGCATGTTTCGGAAAAGAACTCCCCAACCCACACGCCTCATCTGCAAACTCAATACATCCCATTTTTGATGAACACCATAAAGAGCCCTTGCGAAGACTGAAGTCGCATCTCCAATGTACTTTCCCTTAAGGGTGCAGGTACCTGTGTGGTATGTACCTAGCGCCGCCTAAACATGTTACCAAGTTGGCTTATACCATGTACTTTGACACGTAGGCTTCTAGATCGGAACCTGAGAAGGGTGGCCTTTCACGCATTTCACTACACGCGTGGCTGCAATGCTTCCAAGCCCCAAGCACTTCTTAGGGGCTTAGGTGCTGAGGGCTTAGTATTGAGGGCTTAGGGCTTATAAGGTTTGGGGTTTAGGGACTTGAAGTTGGGGCTTAGCACCTAGGATTAGGACACAACAAGGATTGCGTGCAACGGCCCGCCGTGATCGAGTTCATCTGCTCGACAGATACCAGCAACGTGCCTGGACGGCGTTTTGTTTCGCATGCTAGGGTCCTTTTAAAGAAAGGAATCCCACATTCACTGGTATTCTGGGACTCCAGAATAGATTCCAACATCCTCCTGGAGAAATTACCCAATAACTTGGTACTTTGGAGTTTGGTGATAGCAATGGTAGTACAGGTTTTGGGGAAGCATGCACTATAGTTGATGCTCACAGGTAGTTTACAGCAGCAATAGTAGTTGTCCGCATTTGCACTAGAAAGCTTCTACATTCCCCTACTTACCTCCGCACCTGCCTCCAAGAAGCCAAGTAGATTCAAGGTGCGAGGATGCTACGTGTATCAAGGCACGCAGAAGCTCATCCGCCCTCAGTCATTCTGGCGACTTTTCGGTGGCGCATACTGGGTCCGCTATTACCACGCATCTCGGGCAAATATTAGGCAAGTTTGTTTCTGTTTGAACTGTGAAGCCACTGTCTCACCCGCTCGACACAGGCTTTGTCTGTGCCACTATGCAAGATGGCATTTTCAGGAAATCGGTCACGCTATGAGACCTGCGAAATCGGTCGAGCTATGAGACCTGGTAGTTGGTTCCTTCATATAGGGCGTGCCCCCAGATACAGGTTACTGCGACTTGCAGAAATGCCAAAAAGCACTGCAGGCCGCGGACCCTAAACCACCATCTTGCAGGTGTGGATGTTGCGCCTCAACGATCGTAACGGCGATGTGGCCTCAGTGGATGAAGACGGTTTCAACATGAGCTTGCAGCCTGACTGACTTGTAGTTGTTTCAGGGTTTACTTGGAGGGCTGTGGGGACTTAGCGTAAGCCATATAGTAACTTGAACCATCCCCATTAGCGGATTACAGGGTACGAACTCTTGGAATTGGGTATTGATGTATGTTCAGCCATAGATAGATGAAGGCTGTGAAGGGTACGCTGAACTACCGAGTATTCTTTCTGAGTCGTTTGCGGTTAGCTTGTCTTTACATGCTATTATCATGCTTCTAACCGCGACCTCAATGTGATCTCCTGGTCTTGCACCGTTTTGTTTAGTTCCCAACAGGTCGAAATACCCACTGATTGTATATTTGGGTCTTTGGTAATAGTAGTTCTAGCGCAGGCTTGGGAAGTAATGCTACAAGTATTGGATACCTGAACCCTTATGGCCATTTAGTGCCTTGGAGTTCCTGCCTTACAACGCTGACGGTGCACCGCGTCTGGATTNNTCCCCCCCCCCCCCCCGTCAATCTCAGCTTCGAAAGATTCAAGATAAGTGAGAGATTGAAAAAGAAGCGATCCCCTATATGAAAATCGAGAGTTCAAAGTGGTCATGAGGTTCTCATGAACATCATGACTCAGTAGGAGGGCTTTGGTAGACCCAACCCCCAAGATTAGGACCCCGTAAGTTTCATGTGTCTCTATCACAATCCTCATTCCTCATTTGGGCGGCTACCAAAATCCTCTCATTACCCACAGAACATAGACACTATTAGACACGCAAAGAAGAAAAAGAAAGCCCATAACCCTTAAACCCTTAACCCTTCAAATCTAAGCCCTTAATCCAAAGCCCTTGAACCCTACAATCCCTAAACCCTTAAAGCCTATAGAACAAATCCGAAATGAATGGCTCAAGGTCGAGGCCTTGAGCCCTTCATCCTTCAGAATATCCCGTGAACCAGGGTTTAGAGTTTAGGGTTTAGGGTTTAGAGTTTAGGGTTTAGGGTTCAGGGTTTAGGGTTTGGGGTTTGGAGCTTGAATAAATGGAACTATTATTGGAGGGGTTGTATCGCAGCACACAGAGGTTTGGTAGTTCCTTTAAGCGGAGGCACCACGAGATAAGGGTCTAGGTTGTTGGGGTGGCCCTTAACCCTGAAACCCTGAACCGTTAAACCCTATACACTGGAACCCTAAACCCTGAACCCTAAACGCTTAAACCCCTAAACCCTAAACCCTGAACCTTAAGTAAACTCGAAACCCTAAAGCCCTTGAACCCTAAACCCTCAACCAGGTTCAGAGTCTAGGGCAAGTCCAAACACCCAACCCTAAACCCCCAACCCTTCAAGAGCTATAGTCTAAACTCCTTAAAGGGGGTTATATAGGGGATTATATTGGGGAGTATTATAGGGGTTATTATTATTGGGGATACTAGGAGTTCAGACTATAGCTTCTAAGCTTAACCCAATTTCCCTTCCCCAAGCCTAAGCCCAGCCTTTACCTCCAGCCTTGACCTAGGGTTTAGGGTTTAGGATTAATGCCGTACTGTCTCAAGATCCCACAGAGGTACGAGTTATATGGGGAAATCCCAAGGTTATAGCCAGGTGCTATTGCTACCCCATAGTCTCTTATATATATATAACTACCATCAAGAAGAGAGAGTCCCTTTCTCTTAAGCCCCGAATGTTGATGTCATCCCACGTTTCATTACATGGTCCGTTTGCTTTTCCATTTGATTCCCCCTAAAATCCTCCATCCCAACCCCAAACCCTTATCCCTAAAGCATTAAACCCTAAGCCCTATAGACCCTAAACCCTAAACCCCTTAACCTCTCAGACTTTGAGGTATACGGCTTTGGAAGGCACCTTCCCGCATCAGCGGCGGTTTGAGGTCTCCTCCATCATCCCATAGCTTTGAGCGAGGCTTAGGGTTTAAGGTTTTAAGATACCCTATTAGGGATATATTAGGGTTAGATTAGGGGTATATTAGGGTTATATTGGGGTTATATTGGGGTTATATTAGGGTTATATTGGGGTTATATTGGGGTTATATTAGGGTTATACTGGGGTTATATTCGCGGTGTATTAGGGTTATATTGCGGTTATGGGGTTTAAGGTTTAAGGTTTTTAGGGTTTGGGGTTTGGGGTTTAGGGTTTGGGGTTTAGGTCTAAGAGCTTAGGGCTCAGGCTTTAGGGTAGGACAGCTTGGAGATTCGCAAAACCACGGATCTGGTATGGGGCATGAAAATCGAATGGTTCTGCAGGAAAAAAGAGCCATAGATAAAGATTAGGGCTTCTTAGCAGTAGACACACTCGAATTACGCCAGCGCAGTGGAGACCCACAACGTTTTGGGAATCTCGCATGTAGCTCATTTGTCGAAACCTGCCTGGCAACGGCTGGGGTATGAGGTGATTCCTGCACAGGTTTATTCCTCTATGGTCTTCAAAGCCTAGCAGCCTAAATCTTTGTAGGGCAGGTGTTCAGTGGTCAGCGGGACTCCCTGAACCTCCAGACACAGTTGCCTGTGTGGCTTCTGCGCCGGCTGAGAAAAGTCCGCAAGCTTTGGATGGTCCGTTAGAAAGAGGGGTGCGGGGTTCTAGGTTCAGGGTGTAGGGTTTGGGGGTCATAGGGTTTAGTAAGAGCAGTTAGAAGACACCTGGAGTCAGCACGGCTTTTTGCTGGCTAGAATGGAGGTTACTGGTGGGCAAGGGCCTGTCAGAGGAACCAGCAGGAACAGTCCCTCAACCCAAAGAAGATAATGTTTATAACCCCATTATCCCTAAACCCTAAACCCATTATAGTAGTTTCCATTTTCTTTTCCATTATCCCTATATAACCCCGTTATAGTAGCATCCATTTTGTTTTCCATTATCCCTATGTTGATCCCGCAGTTGAATGCAGAGCCCAATATAGGGAAAATATAGGGGTTATATAGGGATAATGGAAAAGAAAATGGAAACGACTATAATGGGTTATATAGGGTTTATAGGGTTTATATAAGGGTTATATAGGGATAATGGAAAAGAAAATGGAAACTACTATAATGGGGTTATATAGGCATTATAGGGATTATATAGGGATTATATAGGGGTTATATAGGGATAATGGAAAAGAAAATGGAAACTACTAAAATGGGTTATATAAGGATTATAGGGGTTATATAGGGGTTATATAGGGATGATGGAGAATTTCTCCGACTGGCATGGAATCATCCCAGCCCCCATGGCAAAGCTGCCCGGAGCAAAGTGATTTTAAGTTATAAGTTTTAAGCTTGACATGCTTACTATCGCCAGGGCTATGATCTGCGATACTATGTTGAACTTCCTATGACCCCCTCACAAGGGACCGCTTGTTACAGGCAATAGGTTCCCAATTCCCGCCAACATTAGACAACTCTGCTCCCCCTGAAAAAGCTGGCTTCCCACAGCAGTCCAGAGATGCCGAGGAGGCACGTTTCGCAAGAAGGGGTATAGTCCCCCTTAAGTAGATCGAATGGTATATGGGGATCTTATTACAATATACCCAAAGCCATATTCTATCTACTTCAAGGGGACTATACCGTAAAGCTGAACCCCAGACGCTGAACCCTCAATCCTAGATCTTCAATCTCGAGCCATGGCTCCCGAACCCCAAGCCCCAAGTCCTGCATCGTAAGCCCCAAATCCTGCATCCTTGGATCCAAACCTGAAACCTGATTCCCAAAACCCAAATGAGCCTTAATCTAAACTCCTTGACGCCGGTTATATACGGAAGTACTTAGGGGGCTACTACGGGGGTGATTCAGGAGGATACTTGGAGTTTTGGCAACAGCCCAAGTCTTCAACCCTAAACCACCTTGAACCCTACACCTTCAGTACTACCCCCCCTCAGTAACAGTTGGATAATAATTCTACTATGGTTATATATAGCCCTTAATAGGACCCCTAATATACACTGTTATTGGGTGGGGGCAGTACCCAACCCTAAACCCTAAAACCCTAAAACCCTAAACACTAAACCCTATATAACCCATTATGGTAGTTTCCATTTTCTTTTCCATTATCCCAATATTACCCCAATATAACCCTAATATTACC